AATATTGTCGATTCCATCGGAGAGCAGGGCATGATACAGATGATTGCGTCATTCTCCGGCGGCAAATTGAAGAACTCATCCAGAAAGGGTACCTGGGCCAATTCGTTGGCAAACAAGGAGGCATCCCGCAGAAGAGGAGCCTGACGTGGCAGCGGTCCGACCAAGCTACCACGTCAAAGGAGACACCGCCTGCCAAGAAGCGAGAGCTCGGCGCCTTCTCCGAGGAAGACGATGCCGACCTAGGGAACGGCCCCCGGAAGTACCATCGATGTTCATTCATATTCGGGGGACCCCAGGGAGGCGACACCTCTGGAGAGCGGAAGCAGTGGGCCCGAGCCCTATACGTTGGGGAGATAACCAGGGCTCCCGCTGACAAGAGGGTGAAGAGGGACCCCATCTTCTTCACCGACGCAGATTTGCCACCGATGCCTCCGCCGCACAGGGATGCCTTGGTCATCAAGGTCGAAATCAACAACACGATCGTCCACCGAGTCCTGGTGGACAATGGGAGCTCCGTTAACATCATGTACTATGACACCTTCCAAGGTCTCGGGCTGGACCGAAAAGACTTGATCCCGGTGAGAACCCCACTCTCAGGCTTCACGGGGGACTCCATTGAGTCGGAGGGCAGCATAGTCCTCCCTGTGATGGTGGGCTCCGAGCCCTGCGTATCCAAGTTAGACGTCGAGTTTATCGTCGTACGCCTAACTTGTGCGCATAAGATCATCATGGGAAGGCCGGCCCTGGAAGACCTCAAATGTGTGATATCCCAGGAGCACCTATGCATGAAGTTTCCCACTCCGAATGGCGTCGGAGTCGCCAAGGGAGATCAGCGAATGGCGAGGAGCTGCTATCTGAAAGCTTGCAAACAAATCGGTCAAAAAGACTTGAGGATCCACACTATCAACAGCAAAGCCATGAAGTATGAGGAGGGTCAGCTCCGCGCTGAACCCACCTCAGACGTGGAGGAGATCCAGATTGACCCCGAGAGGCCGGAGCGGAAGGTCAAGATCGGGACCGGGCTCCCGGCCGGCTTGAGGGAGAGGATTATCCAGGTACTTGTCCTTTTTAGCGTTGTCTTCGCGTGGGGACCGGAGGACATGCCTGGCCTTGACCGAAGCATCGTTGTCCATCGGCTGGCGGTCAATCCAATGGCGAAGCCCATCCAGCAGAAGAGAAGACACCTCTCAACCGAGAGGAGGGAATTCGTGAAGAAGGAGGTCAATATGCTCCTGAGTATCAAGCATATCCGGGAGGTCTTGTACCCGGTCTGGCTGGCAAACGTGGTCCTGGCCCCGAAGCCGCCAACCTGGAGGATGTGTGTTGATTACACCGATCTCAACAAGGCATGCCCGATGGATCCATTCCCATTGCCTAACATCGACCAACTAGTCGATGGGACGGCCGGATGTGAGCTCCTTAGCTTCATGGACGCTTTTCGAGGATACCATCAGATTTTCATGCATGAAGAAGATGCGGAGAAGACCTCATTCGTCACCCCAGAGGGGATTTTTTGTTATCTTGTCATGGCTTTCGGGCTGAAGAACTCTGGGGCGACGTACACGAGGATGGTGGCCAAGGTATTCCGGAAGGTGCTCGGAAGGAACATGGAGGCGTATGTTGACGACATGATCGTCAAGAGCACCCGGGCATCCGATCATGCAGATGATTTGGCAGAGATCTTCGGGATCATGAAGGCAGTCCGTCTGCGCCTGAACCCGAAGAAATGTACCTTTGACGTCCAAGGAGGCAAGTTCCTGGGGTACATGGTCACACGGAGGGGGATTGAGCCAAATCCTGAGAAGGTAAGGGCAATAACTTGACATGGAACCCCCGAGGTCGGTGAAAGAAGTCCAGATTCTCACCGGCCGGCTAGCAGCCCTTGGACGTTTCATGTCCAAGTCCGCCGAGAAGTCCCTACCCTTCTTCCAAGTCCTAAAGAAACAAAATGGTTTCGTCTGGAATGATGAGTGTCAGCGAGCCTTCGACGACTTGAAGAAGTACCTCCTCTCTGAGCCTTTACTCAGCAAGCCGGAGAGGGGGGAGACGTTAATCCTTTATCTTGGGGTTTCCCAAGGTGCAATCAGTTCCGTGCTGGTTCGCGAGGAGGAAGGCGTTCAGCGTCCCGTCTACTATGTAAGCAAGACCCTCCAGAATGCTGAGCTCCGGTACACCCCGCTCGAGAAGACAATATATGCTGCCTACATCACCGCCAAGAAGTTGACACACTACTTCAGAGCGCACCCGATCAGAATCCTGTCGGACCAACCCCTAGGTGCCGCTCTGAGGGCGCCCGGCACAACCCGGGTAGTGAAGTGGTCGATGCTCCTCAACCAATACGAGGTTGACTTCCAGCCTCGGACGTCCATCAAAGGCCAGGCTCTGGCTGATTTCATTGTGGAATGCACGGCCCGAGAAGTGGCAGATAGGCAACAGGAGAGCAATGAACAATGGTGGACTCTAGCGACTGATGGGTCGGCAGGAGCCAAGGGATGCGGGGGCGGAATCGTCCTCATCTCACCCGAGGGATTCCGAGCCTACTATGCCTACCGCTATCTTTTAAAAGTCTCCAACAATGAGGTGGAGTACGAGGCCCTACTATCTGGGCTACGATTGGCGGTCGCCATGGGAGCAGAGTGGATAACGGTGAAATGTGACTCCCGTCTGGTGGTTTCACAGGTCAAAGGTGAGTTCGAAGCGAAGGAAGAAAGAATGATGAAGTATCGAGATGTTGTTCGGGAGTTGCTCGGGTTGTTCAAGCAAGCAGAGTTGATCTGCATCCCGAGAAATCAAAACTCCAATGCAGACCTCCTCTCAAAGCTATCCCAAGGGTTACCTGAACATATATCGAGAATTGCACGCATTGAGGAGATGACGACCTCAAGCATATCAGCCTCACCGTCCATTGACATCCTTCCCCTGCAACCAGTTGCCTGGTGTTGGGTGGATGACCTCCTGCGCTACATAGCCGATGGGACGCTCCCCGAGAGAGAGGAGGAGGCAAGGTTAGTCCGGCGACGAGCTCCGGGCTACGTCGTCTTGGATGGGAAGTTGTACAAGAGGTCCTACAATGGGACCTTGCTAAAGTGTTTACGCCCACATGAGGCGGAAATGATCGTCTCTGAACTCCATGGGGGCGTATGCTCCGCCCATCAGGGGGCAAGCACGTTAGCTAGGAAGGTCGTCCTCCAGGGGTACTTTTGGCCAACAATAATGAAGGATTGCGCTGACTATGCAAGGAGATGCAAGACATGCCAGAAATTCCAGAAGAGCCCCGGCCGACCAGCAACGATGTACACACCGATCAGCACCGCCCTTCCATTCACAAGATGGGGTGTCGACCTGGTCAGTCCCTTACCAACCGGGTCGGGAAACCGGAAGTTTGTCATCGTCGCGGTGGACTACTTTACGAAGTGGGTTGAGGTCGAGCCGCTTGCCAGCATCACACATCTCCAATGTAAGAAGTTCATATGGAAGAATATTTTCTGCCGGTTTGGGGTTCCCCTCCAAATAATCTCCGACAACGGAAGGCAGTTTGACTGCAAAGCCTTCCGCCAATTCTGTGCAGAGTGGGGAGTAGAATCCAGCCGAGTTGCGGTCTGCTACCCCCAGGCAAATGGACAGGTGGAGAACACCAACCGGACGATCGTCGATGGACTGCAAAAGAAGTTGGAGGCCCTCGGGACTGCCTGGGTGGAGGAGTTGAACAATATACTCTGGACCTTCAGAACAACCCCAAGGAAGGCAACAAGAGAGACCCCTTTTGCCTTGTGTTATGGCTTTGAGGCGAGGGCACCGTTCGAGGCCGTAGTTTCCAGCCGGTGAGTGAAAGAGTTTGAACCAGCCAGCAAGGAGGAGAGGCTCCGAGCCGAGCTCCACCTCATTGAGGAAAGAAGAGACCGTGCCTTCATCAAAGCGGAAAACTATCGACGACAGGTCAAGGCGTACCAAGACAGCCGAGCCCGAGCCCGGAGTTTTGACGTCGGTGATTATGCCCTAAGACGTAGGAAGGCCAGCAGACCGACAGAGGGAGGTAAGCTCTCCGTCAAGTGGGAGGGCCCTTACGTGGTTGACGCAGTGATCGGCCCTGGGACATACAAGTTGAAGACAACAACAGGCCGGTTGGTAGACCGCATCTGGAATGCCGAGCACCTGATGAAGTTTTACCAGTAGAAAATCGAAGTTTCACTTTTCTTTGTAAACTCCTGTGCTCCGAGCACGTGATTACAATTTGAAATTCTTCATGTGGTCCGCCCACATCATGAATTCAATATACTTTGCTAGCGATATTTTGTCTTCAAAAGAGGTCCAACCTCACTTAGCAATAAAGGGCGGCGGCAAAAAAAAAGGTACTATGCCCCCCCTCGGTGTTTGGCCGACCTCGGCCAGGCTCTTTAACTAAAAATAGCCAAGCGATTTTCAAGAGTCCGGACAATTTTCTAAATTAAAGAGTTAGCCGCAACCGTCGAGGCGATGGTAGGGCTGACCTCCGGGTCGAGGGTACTCAGGATGCTGACCTCCGGGTCCTTTCGAGTGCTCGCCGCCTAAGATCACTGGCCAAGCAACTCGCACTCTCGTCATCCCTGAGTTGGCGGTGCGGGTTCGTTCTGGTGGATCATGCAGGGTCCGCCCCTGTTGTTTGGCTATCCATGCGGGAGTAACCAGATTATTCCCCAAGTCCGGGCAAACTGGATGGGTTAAAGTGACAGTAGGACTGACCCTGGGTCAGGAACGTTCAGGATACCGTCCTAAGGGTCTTCCTCGTCGGTTCAATGTCCGACCTCGCTGGCCAAACAAGTCGCTTACTTGTTGATTCCATATCAATAGTGAACAGATCACTTCTATCCAACTAGGAGGGGCACGGATAGGCTCGGCCACGCCAGCCTAACCGCCCCCCGGGAGGTTAGAGAAGCCAGATCCCCGAATAAATTGCTAAGTGTTCGTAATGCAAAGTATAGGAAAAGAAACATATGAATTCAAAATTACTTCAGTCAAATGTCACATCAGTCAACTTCATGCTACAAGCAAAAAATGTACATGGTCATGGCCGGGCGAACCCATCGCCATCAAATACAAATATCTGAAAGTCAACTTAGTCATTAACATGGATGGTCTACTCTTGGTCGTCGCCTAGGCACTGCGCCACCGTCAACTTGCGACTGACGCCCAAGTACCATGTCGCAGTCAACTTGCATTGCTGAGCACTTCTGAGGGAAAGCCTTGACTGCCATTTCCGCAATTGGGCGCCTGCCGCCTTACCTGTTTCAAAGTTCAAACCGGAAGGTAGGCTATCCGCCGTGGGGCTCTCTCGTCCTCATGATTCTTCACACGTTTGGGGACCTCTGTGAGGCATGGAATCCTACAAATAGGTTAAAAAGGCTATCAGAATCAACTGAAAAGATAAGGAGCTACATGGCTCTAAAAACAGTGATAATTCGGGAAGCACCAGCATGTTATCCACACATGTCGGCTGCACTTATTGTTTTCTGAAGGTCCCAATCGGCTTGAATTGACCGGTTTCCTGTGGGGGCGAAGGATACATGCAGTTGCACTAGGACAGTCGATATCAACCTCAAAGGTCTCAACGACTTCAACCATGCGGGGATGAAGGTGTCATCCAAAGAGTTTGGATCGTCCACCTACTTCCTACCACCGAGGAGCAGCACTCTGACCTTGGACCCACCACCGCCCGGGTGGTTGCCAGCTTGGAAGTTACACTGCCGATCTCGGATGCCGTCCGCCCAAGTGCCGTCATCCTGGACGGTGGCGCAGGACCCCTGCGCTTGCGTGATCTCTGTCACTGCCAAGAAAATTTTGGCGGCAACAACCCTGCCACCCAGAGGAAGAAGAGCATCAGGGCGATCGCCGGACAACGCGAAACCCCAAGGAATAGAGACTTCAGCCTGGTCGCCTGACCGCCAGGTCGCCTGGCCGATTTGCCGCCCGAACGTCTGACTGCTTGGCCGCCCGGCCGCTTTGCTGCCTGGCCACGTTGCCGCCCGACCATCTGGCCGCCTGGCCGCCTGGCCGCTTTGCCGCCCAGCCGCTTTGCCGTCCGGCCGCTCGGCCGCCTGCTTCCAGGGAGGTGACGGTGCCATCCAACCCGGGGGACACCCAGCCGCCTGGCCGCCTAGGGCAGGATGCACACACGCATGCAGGAAGTCGAGGAAAGAAAAACGAAAGAAAGCAAAGTATAGAAAAAGAAACGTATGTTTCAAGATTTAATGTTGAATTAAAGGTTACATCTGCCACGCAGCAAACTATTCAAAAATAAAGTAAATTACAAGGTTGATGGACATTGTTCATGGGAGTTGCTGGGAATCTCAAGGAACACTCCTGGAATCTGAATTTGGCACGGTCTTCATCATGGTTGTTCGCCTCTCGGTAGGTGGTCACCGAATTCAGTGGAGATCTCTCGTCATCGGAACCTTGGCCGCTAGGGACATCACTCCTTAGGAGCCAGGGTAGCCACGGAGTCCTCAAATTCTGAAAACAATCCAACCAGACGGGAAGCGACACCCAAAACCTGGAGTTCAGCTGGCCTCGAATTAACATCCGCGATTAGCTGGCCAGGAATCCGCCATCGCCGCCTGGAGGCCGTCACCTACCCCTGTCGCTCAACGATCATAAGTGGACGCAACAAAGATAGCTATCACCGACCTGGAGAAAGACATGCAAGAATAACGGTTAATCACCCCGAACCAAAAGCTACATTGCCGCCATAGGAGCTGCACTTCTGACTCCCTCAAAGACCCGGCTGCCGGCACTGTAGTCCGGGTGTCCCACAGGCTGGGAATCAACGCCGGAATCCAGAGATTAGCACGGGATGGCCACCAGATATCGGGGACAACAGTTGACAGCAGAAGCGCGCGACGGCAGCTCACCGGACAACCTGAACACCGGAAGGAGGGTCAACTCCATCTGGCCTGGGGGGCGCCTGACCACCTGGCCGCCAGTTTCCTGGGCGACGCTGGCCGGCAGGGCGTGGCCGCCGACCCCTGTGTGATTTGCGCCAGCCGAACATATGAGCCCAGACGCACCTGCCATATTTACCGAACTGCAGGGGGGATGTCAGCCGCTGGCGGGTGGTGCGGAACAGCCATTGGGCGCAACAGGGACCGGCCCTGTGGAGCCACCGGGTCACAGACGGCGGCCGCCCTTGGAGGCAATCGGTCAGTTGCGGCGCTGCGGCTACGCGAGGGAGACGCTCGCAGGTCGCAGGAGAGAGAGGAAAGAGAAGAAAGGAAAGAAAAAAAGAAGGAAAGAAAAGAAAAGGAAAGAAAAAAGAAAAGGAAAGAAAAAAGAAGGAAAGAAAAGAAAGGAAAGAAAGGAAAGAAAAGAAAAGGAAAGGAATTTTCGGGAGCTGACCTGGATTCTGATGTCCGGAAGAAAATTGACGGCTGGAGTGCTAGGATGCTGAAAAAATTTATTTGGAGCCTTTTTTGGGAGCCTGATTTAATTTGGGAATTTCCATAAACTCCGGGATTCACATAATCCGCAATTATGGTTCCTTGATATGTGAATATTTTTAAATCGGCAGCTGACTTAAACTACTCCCTCTTAGCCGAGTCTACTACTCGACTAAGGGAGTGGGGGACTCGTGATGGGGTTATGGGACTAGGCCCAGAGCCTAATCGGCCCAGGCCCCGGACTTGGACTAGCAGGCCTAAGCCCAGTGATCCAGAGCTCATTCCGGCCCAACCGATCAGGCCCATCAAGGAGTGAAAGCCCAGGGCGGCCTGCCGTCCAGCCCAGTAGGGAGCCTGCCTACCAGCCCAGTCAGCAGCCTGCCGTCCAGCCCAACAGGGAGCCTGCCTACCAGCCCAGTCGGTAGCCTGCCGTCCAGCCCGGCCAGCGGCCTGCCTTCCAGCCTAGCCAGGCGCCTGCCTCCAGCCTAGCAGGGAGCCTGCCTACCAGCCCACTCAGCAGCCTACCTTCCAGCCCAGCAGGAAGCCTGCCTACCGGCCCAACCGGAAGCCTGCCTTCCAGCCTTGCCAGGAGCCTGCCGACCACCAGCCCAGCTGGGAGCCTGCGGTCCAGCCCAACTGGGAGTCTGCGGTCCAGCCCAACGGGGAGCCTGCTTTCCAGCCTACCCGGGAGCCTGCCTTCCAGCCTACCCGGGAGCCTGCCTCCAGGCCGGTCAGAAGCCTTCCTCCAGCCTAGCGGGAAGCCCACAGTCCAGTCCAGCAGGAGGGAGCTCAAGCGTCCAACCTGCCAGCCAGAAAGAGTAACAGCCAACAATCAATGCGCGGCTTAATTATGTGTTTACTTCCGTATTAATGTTGTAATTAATTTAGTCATTATTATGTTCGGCAATTACCATTTGTAATCGCCTATAAAAGGCAATTCGAATTCAAATACAGATATGCTATTTCTGGCTAACTTTCTATATTCGTACTTTCCTAATTCTTGCTTGAGTGTCGTACGTAGCTTTCCTAAAAGCCTACGAGCGTCCTATTTTGGACCAACATTGGAGATGTGTGATGCTGGCAAGCGTTGAGGATAGCTTTGAGAGGAGGTCTGCATCGGAGTTTTGATGCTGGCATAGCTTTGAGAAGAGTTTGAACCAGCCAGCAATGAGGAGAGGCTCCGAGCCGAGCTCCACCTCATTGAGGAAAGAAGAGACCGTGCCTTCATCAAAGCGGAAAACTATCGACGACAAGTCAAGGCGTACCAAGACAGCCGAGCCCGACCCCGGAGTTTTGACGTCGGTGATTACGTCCTATGACGTAGGAAGGCCAGCAGGCCGACAGAGGGAGGTAAGCTCTCCGTCAAGTGGGAAGGCCCTTACGTGGTTGACGCAGTGATCGGCCCTGGGACATACAAGTTGAAGACAACAACAGGCCGGTTGGTAGACCGCGTCTGGAATGCCGAGCACCTGATGAAGTTTTACCAGTAGAAAATCGAAGTTTCACTTTTCTTTGTAAACTCTTGTGCTCCGAGCACGGGATTACAATTTGTAATTCTTCATGTGGTCCGCCCACATCATGAATTCAATATACTTTGCTAGCGATATTTTGTCATCAAAAGAGGTCCGACCTCACTTAGCAATAAAGGGCGGCAAAAAAAAAAAAAAAAATAAATAAAAAGGTACTATGCCCCCCCTCGGTGTTTGGCCGACCTCGGCTAGGCTCTTTAACCGAAAATAGCCAAGCGATTTTCAAGAATTTGGGCAATTTTCTAAAGTAAAGAGTTAGCCGCGACAGTCGAGGCGACGGTAGGGCTGGCCTCCGGGTCGAGGGTACTCAGGATGCTGACCTCCGGGTCCTTTTGAGTGATCACTGCCTAACATCGCTGGCCAAGCAGCTCGCACTCTCGTCATCCCTGAGTTGGCGGTGCGGGTTCGTTCTGGTGGATCATGCAGGGTCCGCCCCTGTTGTTTGGCTATCCATGCGGGAGTAACCAGATTATTCCCCAAGTCCGGGCAAACTGGACGGGTTAAAGTGACAGTAGGACTGACCCCCGGGTCATGAACGTTCAGGATACCGACCTAAGGGTCTTCCTCGTCGGTTCAATGTCCGACCTTGCTGGCCAAACAAGTCGCTTACTTGTTGATTCCACATCAATAGCGAACAGATCACTTCTACCCAACTAGGAGGGGCACGGATAGGCTCGGCCACGCCAGCCTAACCGCCCCCCGGGAGGTTAGAGAAGCCAGATCCCTGAATAAATTGCTAAGTATTCGTAATGCAAAGTATAGAAAAGGAGGCGTATGAAATAAAAATCAAACATCCACGAGGTATTCAAGTGGGAAACAAAGGAAATACAAAATACAATGTCACGGCTGGACAGACCCATCGCCATCAACCTCGGGAATGTCATCTAACACACCAACCAAGTCCTGGACAGGGGCCACAGGAGTCATGTTCCCCATAGCTGGCGGAAAGAACCAAGCCCATTCGTTAGAACTACCAAGCTCCTCCTCCTGACGGACGGCCTCTGGGGGAAGAAGGGCTATCGCCTCCACGGGTTTCTTCATGCGGCCGGGAAGGCCGAGTGTGGATGGATGAAAGTCAGGGTCTAGATCCTTCAACCGGCCATACACCTTCTGCTGCATCAAATACTTGCCACTCTGAAAAGCATAGAGGACTTCGCGAGCGCGTCAATACTCTCCGTCGAGGGTCGTCAGCCACCTCTGCACCAGTTCAGACTCTTCTGCTTGCACCCTCGCAGAGACGAGCTTCTGGAACTGCTCGGAGGCCTGGAACTCGGAGAGCGCTTTCTTGGCTCCTTGTTTGGCCGCTTCTTCACATTCTTTTGCACGCGAGGACTGCAGCTCGGAGAAGGCTTTCTGGCTGGCCCACAGGGCAGCCCTAGCCTCGTCAGCCTCACGCTGAAGCCTGGCCTGAGAATGATTGGCTGCGTGAAGTGCCCTGATGGTCTTGGCGAGCCCCTGCAAGATAGACAAACGAAAATGTGAGGGGGTTCAGGGATAAACACAATCCACACCAAAACGTGATCAACCTACCTCGATATGTGCCCGCCTTGGTCGCCCAGGGGAAGGGCAATGCCAGCCAGCAGTGGGACGGCCGCCGGCTTCCTAAGCAAAGTCTACCGGCAGAGTGGCGGCCGCCGGTCCGATCCCCAACCAACATTGCTCGGCCTAGCTCCATGGGGAACCGCACATATGGGCATTAGCTTGCCTCAGCCCTAGTTCCTTCGAGGCCCGACAGCAGCCAGCCAAGAAAGGGACGGTGCCGCTCAACTTGGACTCGAGGAACCACCTGGCCGCTCGGCTTCCTACACAACGATGCTTGGCAGCGGATGAACAACATGGACGCCCGTGAGAAGGACAAATCCATCCGGCCCGAGGGCGCTTGGTCACCCAGCCGTCTAGCCGCCAACCTCTTGGGTGACACCGTCCGACAATGGGGTGGCCGCCAATCCCTATAGCGTGTGCCGGCCACCACAGGAGCCCAGGCCCGCCAGCCAGATTCACCGGGCTGCAGGGGCAACATCGGCGACCGTTGGGTGGCACAAGACAGCCCGCCAATACCTGTAAATTGCGCCGACCAAGGTCCAGGCCGGCCGGCCGGCCGACCAGATTCGCCGGACTAGCGGGCGACGTCAGCAACCGGCGGCCAACACAGGACGTCCGCCTGGCACGGCGGGGGCGACACGGGGAAGCTACGGGGCGGCGGTCAACCACACCATCTTGGGATGGCGGCACTGCGCGACGCGAGGAAGACGGACGCAGGAGAGAGAGGAAAAAGAAGAAAGGAAAGAAAAAAGAAAGGAAAGAAAAAAGAAAGGAAAGAAAAGAAAAGGAAAGAAAAGAAAGGAAGAAAAGAAAAGAAAGGAAAAGAAAAAAAAAGGAAAGAAAAGAAAAGGAAAGAAAAGAAAAGGAATGAATTTATTTGGAGCCTTTTTTGGGAGCCTGATTTAATTTGGGAATTTCCATAAACTCTGGGATTCCCATAATCCACAATTATGGCTCCCTGATAGGTGAATATTTTTAAATCGGCAGCTGACTTAAACTACTCCCTCTTAGCCGAGTCTACTACTCGACTAAGGGAGTGGGGGACTCGTGATGGGGTTATAGGACTAGGCCCAGAGCCTAATCAGCCCATGCCCCGAACTTGGACCAGCGGGCCCAAGCCCAGCAACCCAGAGCTCGAGTCAGCCCGACCAACCAGGGCAATCAACGAACGGAAGCTCAAGAGAGCCTGTCGACCAGCCCAGCGGGGAGCCTGCGGTCCAGCCTACCCGGGAGCCTGCCTTCCAGCCTAGCCAGGAGCCTGTCGACCACCAGCCTAGCTGGGAGCCTGCGGTCCAGCCCAACTGGGAGCCTGCGGTCCAGCCTACCCGGGAGCGTTCCTTCCAGCCTACCTGGGAGCCTGCGGTCCAGCCCAACTGGGAGCCTGCGGTCCAGCCCAGTGGGGAGCCTGCCTTCCAGCCCAGTGGGGAGCCTGCCTTTCAGCCTAGCCGACCACCAGCCCGCTGGGAGCCTGCGATCCAGCCCAACTGGGAGCCCGCGGTCCAGCCCAGGTGGGAGCCTGCCTCCAGCCCATCGGGGAGCCTGCCTTCCAGCCTACCCGGGAGCCTGCCTTCCAGCCTACCCGGGAGCCTGCCTCCAGCCCGGTGAGAAGCATTCCTCCAGCCTAGCGGGAAGCCCACCGTCCAGTCCAGCAGGAGGGAGCTCAAGCATCCAGCCTGCCAGCCAGGCTGACCTGCCAGCCAGGAAGAGTAACGGCCAACAATCAATGCGCTACTTAATTATGTGTTTAATTCCGTATTAATGTTGTAATTAATTTAGTCATTATTATGTTCGGCAGTTACCATTTGTAATCGCCTATAAAAGGCAATTCGAATTTCAAATTCAGATATGCTTTTTCTGGCTAACTTTCCATATTCGTACTTTCCTAATTCCTGCTTGAGTGTCGTACGTAGCTTTCCTAAAAGCCTATGAGCGTCCTATTTTGGACCAACATAGGGAAATGAGAACTTTCCAACAAGACATCCAAAACAGGAAAGCGAGAACATTCCAACGGAACGGAGGGAGTATATATATAGAGTAGTCTTCCGGTCAGGAATTCCTGACTGGAACCGCAGTCTAGACGGAGGCGTTTGGTGGTCTTTCCGGTGGAATTGTTTGATGAAATTTTTATGGAATGTTTTACATCAAGTCTAGTTTATCCACAAAAAAATATAGCTAAAAAATCAATCGGGAAGGTTTTCAAGTGATTTTGGTGTTACCAAAAGGCTCTTAATCTCATTAAGAGCATTTTTTTTTTAATTTATACGAAGTATTCCGCAAGTCCACCTAGTGATTGGGTAGAGTCCTCGTGCTTTCTTTTTCCCCGGTAAAATCCAAACTTTATGAGTTACTATTCTTGATTATGATGATTATACGTTAATAGGCCTACATAGGTCCCCCATCAATGCGTCCCATTATTACAAATAGTATGAAAGGGGTGGTCACTTTTGGATATATCATCGACAGTAATGATTCGCACAAAAAAGACAAGCGTTTGGTAATCACATTTAAGAAAAGGATGACACCTACTCTTAAGTAGAAGATCAATTTTGTTCACTCTCCTCCCTCCTTGAGGGTAATGTTCATCACACTCCTGTGGTGTTGCCATGTTAAATAATACTACCTTCTTTCCAAAAATAACTTTCCAGTTTGACTTGACATTCTTATTAAGAAAGTGGAATAAAGTGGAAATATATGGTTATAGTTGTGTAAGAAAAATGTAAAATGAATGTGAGACACACAATTGTCCAAAAAGGGAAAGTGGAAAGTATTTTTTTAGGACGGAGGAAGTACAGCGTATATAATCGTAATAATACTCCGCAATATTATTGGTAACAAAGACCTAATTTTTATTAAACCAGTTCTTCCAGTTCAATTCCAATTTTGAATCGATTAAACCGGTTCAGTTCTGGATCAAAATTGGTTTATATCCGGTTCGGTTTCCGATTTCTATTATTTTGCAAATCCAATTCCGGTTTTGATCCGCTTTTGAACTGGTCAATACCCCTATTGCACACGGATGGAGATATCTAGGCACGCGGAGGCGGTACACGACGGACATAAGAGACCCCACCACCAAAGAGCGCAACTTATTGGGCATGTTCAATGCAGCCGAGGTGCCTTGGCATATGATTGTGAGGCCGCTGCATGCTCGGGAAATCCAGACTGCGTAGAAACTTAGTCTACTCCAACATGCCTCCACCCGCCGACACCTCCATCATCTTTCCAAAGGGTAGCTCAGTTGGTTGAGTGGTGAGAAATTTGGATCAATGGACCAAGGTTCAAATCTCGCACCGACCGTGTGGAGGTTGAACCAAATGCAATAATAACTAAGAGTGTTACTAATAATGTTGAAACAAGTCCCAACCGGTTCTACTAAGATTGTCTCATTTTTTCTTTTCGGGAAATCCCACAAAGATTATCTTGTACCAAATTTGATAAAATTCGTGTAACTCTAAATCATTCTTATTCTATTCATACTTTATCAATTCAATACAAACCACATAACCGTGGCACCAATTTTTATCCCAATATTAATGGGATGGAGGTAGTATATATTAAAGTTTGGTATTGTTGAGTGAACAATCAAGGATGACTGGATGACACCAAAAATCAATGGATGATGAGTAACTTAAAGGGGAGAGGTGTATTACTCTGTATCATTCATCACCATGAAGAATGAAATAAGAGAAATTTGCTCCTAGTAAGATCAAATCATAGCTCTTTTACAAAAAAAATACTTGTTAATGTTTTTTCCATTCATATTACTTATTTATTTCTAGATTAGGAAACCTATTTCTAACTTTCAAAATTTGTCCTTCAAGTCAAAAAACTTCCGTCGTTGCCAGACCTGCCCTTCTTTCGCAAGAAGCCATCCTCCATGTTGCCATTGCCAGATTTGAGGAACGATTGGGGACCGCTGCTGTAGGTGGGTCCGATTTGAGGCCACCGCCGCTGTTGGGGTCCGATTTGGGGCCGCCGCTACCGCCGATGGTGGTGTTATGGCTGAGGTTTTATGTGAAGTGGCCGGAGAAGGGCATGGGGGAAGAACAGGGGCGGGGAAGGGGAGCAGGGGAGGAGGGCTGAGGACAGGGGAGTAGGGCTGGGGGCTGGATGTTGGGGGTGAGGGCGGGGTGGCTGGTGGTGCTGACTGACGGTGACCACCGGGGATGGCTCTATCACTGTGACGCTGGCGGCATGGATGGGAGGGTAAGAGGCGGTTTATTGTCTAATTATTATCTATTTATTGTCTATTTAATGTCTGATATTTCCTAAAGGTAAGAGTATTGTGGTCAATGCAGGTGTAGTTGAATCTTACTCGAATCTGCAGTCTTAGTTTTGGAAAATTCGTACGTTTTGCTCCTATTTGTTGAAATCTCCCATGAAATAACTATTTAACTCCTCTTGGAGGGCGGACTCCGAACAGTGATCCTCTACCACACAACATGTTTAAATGCATAGAGCCTCTGCAAGTACCGGGGACAGAGCCTCACTCTCTATCTGTCAGATTGGGATTATAGTCCAACTTACGTCCTCCCAACGTACTGTCCGGTCGGGGTTGGGGGCCCTCAGGGATAGGGTGTCATCCTTTTTTTTAGCAACACATCGGGTCGGAATGATTGTGAGATTTCGATTCACGATAAAATATGCAACGTAACCGCAATGCAAACCGCTATGGAACCGTGACACTAATTTAATTTTTTCTTATTTAATTCGAGCGAAAAAATAATTTACCATAACCGTGTCAATTCGCAATAGCCGCAACCGCAACCGCAATTTAGAACCCTAAATCAAGATTCGCCGGGCACCCCTCCTCTAACACCAACTCTTTCAACTTCCGTAATTTTTTCTTGAATCTTATATAAACAAAAATTAAAATTACCTGTAGTTGTAGATACTCTGCTCATCTCCATGGTTGATGCTACAGTTCTGGCAACTCGATAGCGAAGAACAGTTCCCCTTCATCACTTCGCAGCAGCTTTCTTCAACAACGCAATTGCCAAATATGCGAGTTGTTTTTGGATTGGGTCCATGGGTAATCACACATGTGTAGTCCTCTGACAGTTCCATTTCACTCAGTGATAGCCCCTCCGGAGAAGAAGGGCATTCTCCGGCCTGAACGACAGAGCTCAACAATGGGGGCAGATTCCGGGGAGTCTTGGTTCCGAAATCCCCAGGAGACCCCACCGGCGACTCCACCGGAGAAATCAGAGAGGGGATTTGGATCTTGAGTTTTGACCCAAACAGCACCTGACCACGGCGTGAGTCCTCAATGAGAGCGAGACTCACTCCTAATGAGTCGGGTCTCTTTTCGGTGCAAACCGGGTTATGGTTTCGAGTCGGGCTCGATTTTTGGGTCAGGTTTGGGGTTTTCTCGTACCCGATATGGTGACCAATATTGAGGAATTGCTTGGCGTCAAGGGTTGAGGTGGGGCTCATGCTCATGCTCGTGCTGTGATCCATAGCTGATTGGGAAGTCGTTCGACCCAGAAACCCGTTCAGAATTCGGGTCGGAGAACCCAAGAATGATGAAATGGGCTTTGCCGGGTTTCGGGTCGGAGAAGAAGTTATATCCGTAGTCTCTGCCGCCATGAAACCTTTTCTTGATCTTCTGCTGCTTTCCCTTTACTAAATCTCAATTCTTCTTCTTCTTCTTTCCTATCAAGATTGATGCAAAATATAGTAAATTAATCTAAAATCCAAAAAAGGAGTCTTTTTTGGAAATACTTTAAAGCGAAAAGCTCAGGAGTCCAAAAGACACAAGCTTTACCTCTTAAATCAGAAGGGAATGATCCATGAAGAGGTAAAAAGAAATTACTGGGGGGAAATGGGGCTGCAAAAGCTGTGCTAATATTCTGTAGACTCCATGGCTGAAGTCTTGATGCTCATAAACCATACCATTAAGATGGGGTAGAGGGTTAGGGATGGGAAAAGGTTCGCAGGGGGAAATGATGAAGAGATGTTTTTTGCCAATTAATAGAAGGTAACAGTAGGCTTTGTTGGTATTGATTATCTGTGTTTTGTCGGCTTTCGTAGATCATGAAATTGATGATGACAATGATGCAATCTCTATCCGCCATTTTTCACGCATTCATTCAAAGACGGGATGGGTATGTAGTCTCTGCAGCCAGGGGTAACTTCGTACTACCAGGTACCAACTACTCCACTGTTGCTTTGTACTATTTGGAATTTCCAAATTTCCCCCTCTAGGTTCGTATTATCCTCAGCTTTTCCCTCAACTCGTTTGTTGACTCATTTTTTCGTTATTAGCTCATTAGTCAGTTTTTTTATAAAACACATGATTTTTTATTTTGCCCACTGAAGTTTTTTAATAATCAGAAAAAGTAAAGTTGAAGTTACTTTTCTGACTGTTTTGGTTGAAGTTACTGTAGAGATCATTTTAGCTATTTTTTCATATAATTTTTATTTAATTTATTGATTACAAATGTTTTAAATATAATTTTTTCATGAATTTCATAAATTTCAACCAGAACTTCATAAATTTCAACAGAATCAGCCAATACAGTCACTTCAGTCAGAACTTCATAAATTTCAGCAGAATCAGCCAATTCAGCCAATTTTAGTGTTACCAAACGAGCTCTAAATATCAAGGTTCATTAAAAGAATGATTTAAAATAAAACTTTACTCTTTTTTAATAACAGTGTGATCAATAGGGTTTCAAGAGCGCCACCACTTCCAAACCTCATGGCCGCACCAGGTTTTCTTTGAGGGCGATTACAACGGTGGTCAATTCTTGTGACGGTATTATCAGCGTCTCTTGCATTTTTGTGGTTTGTGCGGTCTTTTCCGGTTTTGTTTTTCTCCCTCAACAGTGGGGAATGTTGTGGTACACGCCATTTTGGTCGAGTGTGGTGCACCAGTACAAACATATGGCAATCAGCGAGGACAGTGAAGGATTGATCTTCGACGATGACGATGAAGGCAAAACTCTGGCGAGCGATGGGAAGGCGACCCTTCTGGTGCTAGGCATGATAGGTTCTCAAACGAATTTTCTGGAGGTTCAGATTCTCTTCTACCATACTACAGCAGCTCGCCATCCTCTGGAACCACCTCCCTGTGAGGAAGTAATCTGTGGAAAGTTTTTATTTTCGTATTATTTTTCCTTTCACAGTGCTTATTTTTATTTCAGTTCAAGCAGGTATGGTCGGAGTATTTTGATTTCTGATGAACTCTTATTAGGCAATGTTTCATTTGCGGTCGTTTTAGACATCCGCATGCACATTTTGTGTCTAGCGAATCAGGTTGTTTGTATGGGTGGCTGATTCTAAGTCTATTCCTAGGTCTTATGATCAGATCTGTAATATATGTCTGGATTTGGTCTTGCATGTTTGCTCTATTTTAATGGAAAGCCGTTTTGATGATCAAAAAAATAATAGTGTGATCAAAACTAAACTTACATTTTCCCAAATAATTGTCCATTCGGTTATGAGGACTTTTGGGCTGCGGGTATGCGGTGCCAGCAATCTGCCAGCCTGTCGGTGTAAAGGGAGAGAAATGTGGTGTTTCGCTTGTGCTATAAAGGGAGAGGAGCGTGCTACACTATCAGCAATTGCTTTTGTTGTAGCGGTAAGCGCAACGATCCACAAGTGGTATCAGAGCCAAGGTCACGAGTTCGACCCCCAGCAACAGCAAGCTGCGCAGTTGAGGCTGGCAGGTGCTGTGGGGGGGGGGGGAGATTGTTGGGCCGCGGGTATGCAGTGCCAGCAATCTGCCAGTCTGCCGGTGTAAAGGGAGATAAACGTGACACTTCGCTTGTGCTATAAAGGGAGAGGAGCGTGCTACACTATCAGCAATTGCTTTTGGTGTATCAATAAGCGCAACGATCCACAGGGATCTCAGGGACGCGGTGTCATATTTTTTTAAATATCAAGATTCGTTGTTTATGTATTGTATACTACCTCCATCACATTAACATTGAGAATAAGGAGGTGGTGTGGTTATTAAAAAAGTCGGTTTATGTAATCAATATTAAAATTGATAAAGTAAGAATAAAGTAAGAACGATTTAGAATCACACAAATATTATCAAATCTGGTATGAGTCATACTTAGTGAGACAAACCGAAAAAGAAAGATGAGACAATCTTAGTGGGACAAAGAAAGTACTCCCTCCGGTCCCTATTAAAGTTCTGAGTTTGACTTCACACAGATTAAGAAAATAAATTTGACGTTACTGTGGAGTGCATGTTTGGACACTGTTTGACACTGTTTGGCACCATTTTGCACTGTTTTGTTTCCTACAATGGAAGTGTGAACTTAAATAAGGGACATCCCCAAAAGGAAAGTGATAACTTTAATACGGATCGGAGGAGTATATGTTTTAATTTTATATTTGTTTTCTTCTTTGTTTCCTATTAAGACCCAGTGGTCAATCCTAAATATTAACCAAATAAGAGGAGTAACCGAGATCTTAATATAGCACTTTATCCATTCTAAATTTTACAAATATTCAAAAAACAGATATTTTTTTATATAGCTTATGAAGACCGGTTCCTAACATTAACAAAAAAAATAAATTGATGTCCTCAAAAGTCATTTAACAAATTATCAGCCGATTGTAAATAATCATTTAACCAAACACCATTTTACAAACAACTAATACTATTCACTAATCAAAATCGCCAACAGAATCGGCTATTATCAATCAGCCAACAACTAACAACTAACAGCCATTTGCCAAACACCCCATCGTAACATTTTATTGACATTGTGACATTTTCCCTATATTTTGACAATATTTTATAAACACAATGTTTATAATGAAAACCCTTAATATTGTGACACTTTTATGACATTGTGTTATTTTTTGACATTGAAATTTTTTCCGTGCACTTAGACGATGGAGCTTGTGACATTTTTTATAATATTGACTACCAAAAGTTTTATATGTTATTATTATTTTAATATTTTATTATAACTAGCATCGGAGTTCTAATCTTCACTCTCAAATTTAATGTCATATTCCCCCGTCCCGCTAGAATGTTCCCGTAACGGTTTATGATGCTTGATTGACGATAAAACAACTTAATCCTTGTTCACACTCTGATTATTTTTATTAAATAAAATTTACATATTCAGAAACTACATTAAAACCGCTACAAAGCCTGATAAAAAACGTAAATGTGATAAGAATTTGATATATAAAACAAGAGATTAAAAATGATTTAAGTTGACCTTATGAATAGTGGACGAGAACCTTCTAATGGGACGAAGGTAGTACGTTTTTTGAAAGTGACTTTTGATGCCAAAATAAAAAATGAAAAATAATGAGGTAATGCAATAATAAAAAAATAAATCAAGATACTGTAAAATCAAAAAAAAAGTACGCGGAGAAGCATAATAACGGTGACAACCAGAAAACAAAACTATAAACTGAAAAATAAAAATACTATGACCAAAATGATGCCTGCAATAACAATGTGAGGAGTACATATCCAGCAGCTCAGAGATCTTGGAGTGGCAGTGGCGGAACTAGAATTTTTTTTTAAGTTGGGGCACGATTAATGGGAAAACTTACTGGACAGGCGGATGGCGCCACGGTGGGTTGGTACGGGCAGCGCCAAGGCGGGAGGGCACGGGCGCACGGCGGTCGGCGATCTGGCTTCAGGATCCCTAGGGACTGGCGGTCCGGTGTAGCGGCGTGCTGACGTGGCTCTGCTGCTTGCCTGTTTCACTACTTCGATGCTTCCGGCTTACGCTTCTATGCGGCTTTTGCAGTTTGAAGTTACAGACTTGCAGTCTGGGTGAAGGGAAGGGCTTTAGACCTTGTTGGGCACTGGATCTTGGCTTGGTCTGTTTACATTGTTTGCGCTGTTGGGCTTCCTTGGCCAGATCGGCCCTGGACAGTTTTTTTCCTGCTTCTAAACGACATCGTTCTACACTTCTACTTAAAAAAAATCAGCCTTCCTGAGTTACCCGATCGATCATCCCTATCCTCCAGCCGGAAGCTACACCTTCAAGCTTCAGCCCACCGGAAATTATGGAACGGGCGAGTCCGGTGGCCCCAACCCCTTCCTATACCCTAGTTCGTACGGCGGAAGCAGAGGCACTGCCCCCTACCCCCCGGCAGATCCGCCCCTGCACACACGATCTTCTTTTGAGCAAAACTCGAATTCACCGCCATAGCTTGCGATTTAGATGGCCTTGCGCCATTAATACCTCCTTCTCCATCAAATCTCTATTTTCAATGCTTAATTTTGCATCTTTATGTATCGATCTGGTGGAGGAGGGTACATGTACAATGGTGGCGGTGGCGGTGATGTGCAGCGGCAACGATGTGCGGCGGCGGCGATGTGCGATGGCGTCGATGTGCGATGGCGACGACGACGAGGTGCGATATATGGTGGCAACTATGGCGTGCGATGGCGGCGGTGATGCAAGGGAGGTTTGCAGCAAATAACCCGGTGAAAGTAGTAAGTGAGTAACACAACAACGAAAGATGTAGTTAAATGGGCGAGGCTAAAATTGTCCAATAATATAATTTTTATTCTTATATAGGTTTAAAACTTGAAGGATTCCTATTTACTTACCGGAGCTAAGTTTTAGTCCTATGTAGGTCTTTTTCCCATAAAACTACATATCCAATAAGTAAATACAGAGTACAATGTAAAGATACGGACGGAGGCGGCAACGCGGCATGGCGACGGCTGTGGCAATCAAGCAGATATGGAGACGGTTGTGGGTAGGTGTGTAGGCTTGCAGACGGCCGTGATGCCGCGACATGAGGACGGTGGCGGTAAGCAGGCATGGAGACCGCGGCGGCAGTGGTTAGGCGCGTAGGCATGGGGACAGTCGCGGCGCCGCAACATGGAGACGGCGGGGACTGCGGGAGCCGCGGGGAAGGAGGAGGCAGATGGTGCGGCAACAGCTAATGGCTAGGTTTTTTGTAAAATGAGTAGGAGGTTAGAGTTTTATATTATTAATCTATGGGCATATTAGTCCATGAAATTATTAATTCCGTAGTACTTAATTGATTAATTAATTAATTATTATGAATTTAAATATTTTTTTGGAAAAAATACTAATAAGGTCAGTGGCATATCCATGAGTTTTTTCCAGTGGGGGCGATTTTCCGTTAGTTATATCACACATGTCATAAACAATGACGACATTAACAAAAAATAAGTGTAAAATCAATTAAAAATTACAAAATATTCATGAGACAAAAATATTACGATATCAAACTAAAAATTTCATGACATACAAATTTTTACTTTGGTAAAAGAATTTAATCGCATAGTTGATAATTTATTCAAAATTATGTTATCAATAAGAATATAATCAAATAAGAAATGAATCACATATTTATTTAGAATTCACTTAAATTGTGAATGCACAAGCATATTTAAAAATGAATTTATATTAAATGTAAAAGTATAATTGTTAAACTTCACAAATTATATGTGAAGAATTAAACTATAACTATATTGAAGTAGTTCAAATAAGCCAAATTTAAAATACAATTGTCTAAACTCTAAGTAGCTTTAAATTAGTTTAAGAATGCAAAAGTAAAATAAAATCAAAAGAGCTAAAGGTAAGAATTGAACTGGGTGGGAGCCTAGAAATCTATATATCTATATATTATCTATATATTATTATATATTTTGTTAAAATATAGTGGGGAAAAGTTTTGTGCGGGAACACTATAAAAAACATTGGTATTGTCATTGCCTTATTGCGAAGACATAATACGTAGTATGTTGAACTTCTAAAAAAACTGCTCTATTCATGACATTAAAGGGTGTGTGCCAAATAATAAATTGAGGGTGTAATAGCACAGTAATAATAACAATCCACACTCCTCAACGATTAATTCCGACGATGCACTTTTCTAAATGCTGATGCATATACATATGCGAATACACACTATTCGAGCAGCAAAAAATGTGGCGCTAGAAATTCTCCAAACATAAATATATAGAGCCCGTTTGGTAGCACGAAAATCGGCTATTTTGGCTGATTCTGCTGAAATTTATGAAGTTCTGGCTGAAGTGGCTGTTTTGGCTGATTCTGCTGATTCAAGAAAAAAATATTTTAAAAATATATTTTATTAATAAATTAAAGAAAAAATTACATGTAAAAATAGCTAAAATGGTCATCTGCAGTAACTTCAGCCAATACAGCCAGAAAAGTAACTCCAACCTTACTTTTTCTGCTTATTACACAATTCAGCACACGAAAGTAAAAGTTACGTGTTTGGTGAAAAAGCTGGCTGATAAGCCTGATAAGCCGAAAAAAGAGGTCTCCAAACGGGCTCATAATTGGCATACACCACTATCATAAAGTTACAAACAGGTTTATGCTGTAAATACTAAACGCCCTTCTGCTTTAGTCGAAATATAACTAAGGAGGCCAACTATTCCAATGAAGCAAAGATTGAGTTCAGTAGTTTCACTCGGTTCCAATGAAGCCAAAGTTTGAGATTAGCAGTTTCACTACGACCGGATAAGAATTGGAACAAAATCATTTTATTTGCTACAAATGTGTTTTAACTGTTCTTTGATGCTTTACTGCCATCATTTGCATTGTAAACCTGCTAGAAAAAAACAAGGAAACATTGTGAAAAATTACAAAGTGTGAGGATTATGAGCTAGATATACGACAGATAAAGGTGGATGGTTGGGTTCCATAGGAAGGAGCAGACTTAGCACCAAGAAGACTAGCTTCGAAAATAATATCAAGAGCATATTTACGCCGGCAAAGAAACAACCCATCAGCACTACTTGCCACTTCGATGCCCAGAAAATATTTAAAAGAACCCAAATCCTTCATGTGAAAACAATTATGCAAGTATTGCTTAAATTGGGTCAATGCAGAAGTATTATTCCCAGCAACAATAAGATCGTCCACATAAACAAGAATGTGCATACGCATGACACCTTCACGGTAGGTGAATAGAGAATAATCGGACTTGGACTGAGAAAAACCATAATCCCGCAAAGAGGTGGCAAGTTTGGCAAACCAACACCTAGGAGCTTGACGTGAAACCGTACAAGGATTTTTTTAATCGGCATACAGCAGATGACCGAGAGGGATACAACACAGGTGGTGGTTTCATGTACACCTCCTCACCCAAATCACCATGGAGGAAAGCATTGTGTACATCCATTTGGTGTAACTCTCAATTTTTAGCTGCACCAGCCGCTAAAAATACACGTACAATCATCATTTTTGCAATAGGAGCAAACATCTCAGTATAGTCAATACTTGCGCGTTGGTGGTTTCCAAGAACAACTAACCATGCTTTGATCCGTTCCACCGTGCCATCAGAATGATATTTGATCTTGTAGACCCATTTACATCTGAGGGCCCTCTTTCTTGGGGGAAGTTGAACCAGCTCCCATGTGTGATTATTTTCAAGTGACTGGATTTCAGCTTGCATGGCCGCACGCCAACAAGGACCCGTCATACCCTCGCGAAACGAACACGGTTCCTCACCAGCCAGAATGGCTCCAAGAAATCTTCTATGACAGGCATAAATTTTTTCATAATTCATATAATGTGCTAAAGGATATGGCGTACATGAGAAACCCGAAGGAGAAGATGGCGGTGGAGATGGGCTATATTTCCGGACATGATGAGTAACAAAGTCTCGTAGAAGTACAGAAGACCGTTTAGTATGCATTCCTCGTCCGAGTGGTGCGTCTGTGGCATCTGCATTCGAGCCGGTAGATGAAGAGACAACTACCGAGGACATGTTAGGGGATACGGGTTGCACTGGGTCATCAAAGATAACCACATATCCGTTGTGGTTTGCAACGTCGACAGGTTGTTCCAGTGCCTGCTGCTCAGAAAATGGGAACACGTCCTCATGGAACTTCACATCCCGCGAAACAAAAATGTCACCGGTAGTACACTCATACAATTTCCAACCGTTTTTGCCAGATGAATAACCAATAAAAACACAACGCCTACTCCGTGAAGCAAATTTATCATCGCGGGATTTTAAATTATATGCAAAGCCCAAACAACCAAAAACTCGTAAGTGAGAGAAATCCAGAATCTTACTAGTGAACACCTCGTATGAAGTTTTACCCCCTAACAAGCCAGAAGGGCTACGGTTAATAACATGCACCGCCGTAAGGACACATTCTCCCCACAAGTGAATATGTATACTAGCCTGGAACATCAATGCGCGAGCTACATTCAAAGTGTGACGATGTTTATGCTCAACACAACCATTCTATTGAGGCGTCTCAACACATGACGTCTGAAAATTAATTCCACGAGTTTCAAAATAAGGAAGCATGCATTTAAACTCGGTCCCATTGTCACTACGAATGGTTTTCACAGACACCTCAAATTGTTTCTCCACCATAGTAATGAAGGAAACAAAGAAACGAAAATACCTCCTTTTTATCATGCAACAAGTACACCCACACAAGTCGTGAAAAATCATAAGCCAGAGTAAGGAAATAGATAGCTTCACAAGTAGAAGGCGTGTTATAAGGCCTCCATAAATCACAATGTATCAATTCCAAAACACAACTAGCTTTATACCTACTGATAGGAAAAGAGTCTCGAGCTTGTTTGGCCTGCGGACACACCTCTCAGGCTTTGTTTAATTTTTTCGCAGAATTACTACTAATAATATGAGGCAACAATTTTAAAACTCGATTTGACGGATGACCCAGACGCCGATGCGACAACTCAAAATCTGACAGACTTGATGCATGAACAACGTATAATGCAAGTACACCCCGGAAATAATATAGCCCATCTCTTTGTTCACCGGCTCCAATCAGATTCCTTGAGTGTAGGTCTTAATATCCGTCAGCTAGGAAACAGATATAAGACGGCAGTTCAGGCCGGGCGCATAAAGAACATTATCGAGCACTAAATTCTTGTTAAGGGGTACACGCCCCTCCATTTCGACAGCCAATGTCTGTACGTCCGTCAAGCCAACCGGGCAGGCATTAATACGATTACATTGTGTGAGATAAGATAAATTGCTCGTGACATGATGTGACGCTCCGGTATCGATAATCCATGGTAAAGAAGTGCACATACCCAACATGCGACCACATGAACTAAGATCAACATTAATCAAATTGAAAAGTGCATGAACCTGCTCCGCGCTCAGCTCGTTCAACGCGTTTACCGCATTGCCAGAATACGAGCCGCTGCCACTGCTCGTGCTCGGTCCACTACTGCTGCCCGTAGATAAAGACACGGCATGGGCACGTGCCCCCCCCTCCTCAGCCAATCGCAACATTTTTGGTGTGGTTCCTATCGTCCCACCAATCCGGGTGGCCATGTAATCTGAAGCACGTCCCAACCTTGTGACCCTTTTGTTTGCTATGAGTACACACGAGTTTGGTCTTGTCAACCCGTTATTGACGCCCCTTTATAACGGCAAAGGCTTGCACGTCTGCTGTTTTGCACGAGCAACAGCCCATGAGTTTTCATCTTGAAGGAAAGCTTGATGAGCACGATCAAAATCGGGTAAGGGTGTATGTGACAGCAATTTTGATCACACCATTCCAAAAATTTCATCATCAATTCCAATTAAAAATTGATGAAGACGTTCTTCTTCACGATCAGCAACAAATTTTCCAGCAATATTACACGTACAAAAACCGCAAGTGCAATGTAATAATCATCCACGGACATATTTTTGGTCTGTTTACAGCCCGTTATTGATGCACAAAGTCGCTGCAACCTCGGCCCATTCGAAACGCTAAAACGTTTCTCCAAGTAATTCCACAACGCACACGCTTCATCGTGAAAGGGAACCGACGCCGCCACTTTGGGTTCCATGCTTCGCAACAACCAAGACACCACCATGGAGTTCACGGTGTCCCAATCAAGTAACTTGGCAGCCTCGGTCGATTTCTTCTTGGTTCCATCCACAAACACATATTTGCGGTGCGCCTTCAACGAGAGAGCAATTGCCCGAGACCAAGGTACGTAATTGTCTCCTTTAAAAATCACATGTGTAATCACGTTCCCGGGATGATCACCAGACGTGAGATAATAAGGTGAGGTTGGATCGGCCATGGCGGTCGTCGGA